TTTTTTTTTTTTTTTTTTTTTTTTTTGGAGGAGAAGAGTAGTGTTTTTCAAAGTACGCAGGATTAACGAGTGGTCCGTTGATATAGTAGTCAACTTTTCATTTTCGGATTGTATTTGTTCATGTTTATGATATACAGTGGTTTTCTTTAAAAGAATATACTCATTGCATGTCACTTTTAAGTATTTTGAGTATTTAAATTATTTCAACTTTTTAAATAAATCACTATATCTCATCTGATTTTTTACCTACCAACAAGTAACTCTGATTGTAGCTGCTCAGTTGCGTTTTTTCTGTAAATGAATTTTGGATGGTACAGAAATCCGTATTTTATCGGGAATCAATCTTGGGTTATGCTATGGGATTACATAGTATTCATTTGAACTTTCCAGATAAATTTACAGCTGTAAATTGAATGCAAAGCGATTAAAGAACTTTAGCTGCTCGCTGCAGTCGGAGTTTTTTTTTTCTCGTGCAAACGGGGAAGAAGCGCAATGCAATAAAATTTGGATTTAAAGCTTGCATTCTTCGCTTGCTAATTTGATAGGGAGGAACTTGTAACTTCAAAACTCCAGCATCATCGCAAGCATTGTTGTGCGAGCCACTTCAGTCAGTCGGAGGATTAGTGAGGAACTTAGTTTCGAGAACTGCTAACCATCTGAGTCATTTGCTTAAGGAGGTGGTTGGGAGTTTTAAGTGTACTATTGTGGTCTGTCATTAGCAGTTTTTGCATAAGTATTGTGGGATGGAAAATTATTTCGTACTTTAATTCAGCATTTATGCCGCTCAATATATCAGTTTGCTTACCGAGTGTGTCATGTGGTAAATATTGGTAGATAGACAAGACTATTTTTGTTTCATTGATCAAGTTCCAGTATTGTTCTCTATTTTTGAAATTGATTGTAATATTATAGATCAGTTAGTCATGCATATACTTTTGTGAATATATCATTAATATATATATTCATTTATTTATTTATGGATCAAGCGGAATTTCCATTTTTCATTGCACAGTAACATTGTGATGTCATAACGTTGTACTTACGTAGCTGGAAGGATATGTGAGCCTCTGGCAATGTTGCGTTTCTTTAATTCTTGCCTTTTTATGAATCTAGCTTCCCTAATTCTGTGAGAAAATAATAAATTCTAGTCCTTTTTTGGAAAAACTTTATGTGTTTATTGAAAAAAAACACTTGAATTATATTAAATGATATTGGCTTCCATTCCTTTCTGAATAGTAAATTATTTTCGCAAAATTAAGTGTAAAATAAATTAAAATTGGCTCAGTTCAAAAAGATAAAAAATAAAACTTTATGTCCCTACCTTTTTGTTCCACTATTTTTTGTGTATTCGTTCTGGAACTTTGTCTATATCTTAATAAATTCAGTATCTATTTGTGAAAGAATTCCGAATAAGCATCAAGAAGGGATGAGTTGTTTGCATGGTACAATCTCAGTTTGCTTAAACTGTAAGATCAGTAACTTTTGTTGGAAGTCTTAATGCAAAATTAGTATGCGAAAAAATCATGGATTGTTTAGATGGTACGATATCAACAATTTCAAAAAAAGGGCTGAAACATGAAGTTGAAAATGACTGCAATATTAGAAGTATTCATTTATCCAGC